TTTTTTTTTTTTTTTTCGCCCAACAAGGGATTAATTGTGAGAAAACTACTCTGATGCAACCTTAAGACTGAGATTTTAACTGGAGATTCAAGAGCCAAATTCTATTCTCTCATGTACAGATTCAGTAATTGAAACTCCATGAAAGATATATCGTGGTGATGGGAGTTTCTGCTATATCTCCCTCTTGTGAAGAAGAGGGGGTGAATATACTGCTGTCTAGACACCCCCTTACTTAAAGGGCCAAAAATTCTATCACTGTATATCCTTCTGGAAGGTGTGTGGAAGTAAAGATTCTGATACCGAGAAAGCTGCTCTGTTGCCTTTACTCCCAGCTATCTCTGATGGAAACCTTGTCTAGACAAAGACCCTGCTGGAAGGAGAAGGAAGATACTTGGCTAACTGATATTTTGGAGTTACTTCTTCATCACACCCCTTTCTAGGTTACATGAAGGTCACAAGTTCCTACAGAAGTTTTCTTTCCTATTGCCATCTCCCTAGCCAAGAGTAGTGTAAATTGACAGTCCAAGTTTTCTTGTTGGTGATGCTGAGAAAAGTAAGGATCTGAGCAAAATGAATAGATGGTGAAAAATTCTTCCAGAAGATGCTAGCTGCCAGAAGAAATCAAGGCAAGTCAAGGCAAGTACTCAAGAGGCTGGCATCTGTGTGTGTGGGGGGGTGGGGGGGGGTGGAGAAGACGGGACAGGCAAGAATGCAGCTGAGGAGGGGCTGAGATTTTACCTAAAATGTAATAAACCTAAACCACGATTTTTCAGAAAAAATCATAACAAAAGTAAGTGTATGAGAGAAGGAGCTGTGTGTAGAGGAGCTTATTCAGAAAGCTTGAGAGAAAAATCAGGCTTATAATGGAGAATTTCCTATCTGACCTGCCACAGATAGATAAATGGAAAGATTAGCTGTAAATATATGCATACATCACGTGTAGAGGTGATAGCTATGTGGTAAAGGGCAAAGTTATATTATAAATTTCTAAACAATGTGATATGTATAAATAATAAATAATAATAATAATAAATATATGTATTACCATAGCACCTAGGAGGCCCACGCATGGATAAAGTTGCCAATTTTGGATGGATGTATTCCTGGAGATTTCATCACATGACAATCTTTAATTAAAGATTGATCTTTAATTCCTGGAGACTCCAGGACAATCCTAAGATTTGGCAATCCTTCTCATGGACCAGGATCCCATTGTGCTAGCTTTTGTACAAACACAATGACCCCTAGCCCAAAGAGCTTACCATCTAAGTACGTATCATTCAGCTTTCACCTCCTCTGCCCATTCATGCATCTCCCTGTAACTTTTTGCAAATTCCAAAACAGTGAGCAGTTCAAATAGCCATTTATTTAAAAAAAAAACCCCACCTACCTGCTAGACAAATAGATCCTCCTTTTCATCAGTGCTTTCATCTTGTTCCCACTATAGTCAGAGCCAAAGCTTCCATTGACTTCAGTGGTAGAGATTCAAGCCTTCATTGCAGAAAGAAAAACTGTACCAGCCTAAGGCCCAGAACAGTCAGTCTTCAGACCTACTCCCATTATGGGTGTAAGAACTGCTGTTTCACAGCCCTGCAAAGCTTGACACAAAGAAAAGGATCCACCCTTTCTGGAAGAATTCAGAACTTGTTTCTAGACCCTTGGTACAAGCGACACCTGGTGTCAAGGTTCCTCCCCCACTCTGAACTCTAGGGTACAGATGTGGGGACCTGCATGAAAAACCTCCTAAGCTTATCTTTACCAGCTTAGGTCAAAACTTCCCCAAGGTACAAAATATTCCACCCGTTGTCCTTGGATTGGCCGCTACCACCACCAAACTAATACTGGTTACTGGGGAAGCGCTGTTTGGATGCGTCTTTCCCCCAAAATACTTCCCAAAACCTTGCACCCCACTTCCTGGACAAGGTTTGGTAAAAAGCCTCACCAATTTGCCTAGGTGACTACAGACCCAGACCCTTGGATCTTAAGAACAATGAACAATCCTCCCAACACTTGCACCCCCCCTTTCCTGGGAAATGTTGGATAAAAAGCCTCACCAATTTGCGTAGGTGACCACAGACCCAAACCCTTGGATCTGAGAACAATGAAAAAGCATTCAGTTTTCTTACAAGAAGACTTAATAAAAATAGAAGTAAATAGAAATAAAGAAATCCCCCCTGTAAAATCAGGATGGTAGATATCTTACAGGGTAATTAGATTCAAAAACAGAGAACCCCTCTATGCAAAACCTTAAGTTACAAAAAAGATACACAGACAGAAATAGTTATTCTATTCAGCACAATTCTTTTCTCAGCCATTTAAAGAAATCATAATCTAACACATACCTAGCTAGATTACTTACTAAAAGTTCTAAGACTCCATTCCAGGTCTATCCCCGGCAGAAACCAGCATATAGACAGACACACAGACCCTTTGTTTCTCTCCCTCCTCCCAGCTTTTGAAAGTATCTTGTCTCCTCATTGGTCATTTTGGTCAGGTGCCAGCGAGGTTACCTTTAGCTTCTTAACCCTTTACAGGTGAGAGGAGCTTTCCCCTGGCCAGGAGGGATTTCAAAGGGGTTTACCCTTCCCTTTATATTTATGACACCTGGAATTAAGATATCAGACTCCTTAAAGGACATACAACTTTTATATGACCTATATAAGAATTTCTATGCACAAGAGGTTTTTATGTCTTCCTCTGAGCCCTTTACAGCAGAATATGAGGCACATACAAAATACATGATACTGTGATGTGGGGTAAAGGTATTATCTGTGCTAGTTTGGTATGACCTGAATTACTCCATACCTTAATAAGTCTTGTGATTAAGACACCATATTGTGACTCTGGACATTTGGGTTTCAGTGTGAGTCACTTCATCACTTGTGCATCAGTTCCTATCTACAAAATGGAGATAATGAAACTAACTTTCTCCCACTATCTGTCTCATCTCCTTAGATCATTAGGTCTTTGGAGCAAGAACTGTTTCTTATCCTGTGTATGTGCAGTGCCAAGAACATCTAGGCCCTTGTCTTAGTTGTGGCCTCAGATGCTACAGTAATAGAAATAATCAATATTAATAATAATAATCTCTTTCATTTGCCACCCCTGAGAAATACAGATATGCCAATTTTTTATCATTGACTTCAATGGAATCAGAATGAAGCCAGTACTCAGCATTTTGAAAATAAACCCTAATATATTGATGAAATATTAAGGGCAACAACAGAAAGTATTGCCAGAAGTTTGAGACTATCGTATTTCCTAAACATAAAGACTATGCTATATACCATGTATATTGTAATATATATCTTGTATAGTATGTATATTTTCAAATATAAATAAGTACAGTAAAAATGTAAACTCTCATCAAAAGTACACATAAGTTAAATATAGACTTCTGTGGAAAATGTTGGCTTCGTGCTTAAATATCACATTCATTTTATTTCCAGTAATTTTTATGTAAATAGGCTCATATAAAGTTTCTGTAAAAATAATATCGAGTCTCTCATTCAAAGGTCTACAGGGGAAAAGCAGAATATTAATGTTCATGGTATGCCATTCCAGTATTGCTATAAGTATTATGTGTGTGTGTCTACATAAAATAGTTCGTACAGACTAGTGCCAGTATAGATGAAAATATTCCATGAATTGAACAGGAATATTTCCATCCAAAATGTGCCAAATAACAGGTCACCTCAAGTGAATGGAGAGAGGTATAATTTTGGGTGCATTTAATACCTGCAATGAATCCAACTTTGAAAGCTTTACATTGTTTATACGTTATAGACCAGTTATAAATACATTTTTAAAAGGTGCCGTATACCTCAAAAAGAACATTAAAACTTCAAAGTAATATATATGTTTGTTATGTTACCATGACATACTATGTTGTGGAGGTGTATATAATTTTCTTTGCCAACAAAAATATATTTACAGAGTGTGAAATTATGAATTATTGTTTTCTTTACTCATAGCATTAGTTTAATTGTAGGTTTATATTTTCCAGTAAAATTTCACAAAGTCCTATAGTTCGGTAGAGCCAAGCTTTTAAAAACAGCATTAATTCAGCCCTGATATCCTTTTACTTAAGGAAAACAAATTACCAAAATGCTTTGGCTAAAGATATTAAAAGGAATAGCCAGCAGAGTATGACACATCCTATGTCATATTGTACCTAAGGATGGTTGAGTGCAGACAGTCCAAGCTGTGACCTTGAAGTGTCAATCCTGGAAAATGTTTCGTGGGCTAAAAATCCTTTTTATAGTAGGGAATTTCACAGCCCCAAACCTGCCAGTTAGGACACTACAACTGTTAGGAATTATGCCTGTAAGGAACTCCACTGAAATCATGGATACCAGGATCCATCTATACGGACCCAATTCCAGGACTGGCATCTATGAAAAGTATTTAATCCAGTTTCCCCCATTTGGCAGTAAATTCCTACAGTCACATTCACCACTAGCATAAGTGGGTTCAGTTTCATTTAAATTAGCAGAGGTAAATTGGGTGCCTAATATTTTAAAATAAAAATATTAAAATCCCACTTTTTTCAGGCTTCTCCACCCAGGTTACCTGTTGACAATGAGCTCTACTTGCCATTTTCTGTAGCAACCTGTCGACCCCAAACCTTAGGCACTGTCACAATTTTCTGCCTGCTTAAACTGCTCCACCCTATGCTACTAGCTAGAGGTAGGGGTACACCACAAAAACAGAGCTGAATACTGTAAATATTCACTCAAATGTAAAGGTTAATTTGCCCTGGCCACTCTCACAACCCCTTTGCAAACATCTGAGTAAAGAAATACTACTCAGATGAATGCCTGTAGAAAGCATAAGAGCATACTTTGTACTTGTGCGCTTCAGTATTTGCACCAATAGTGGTATTTTTCATATAGGGCACAGCTTGAAACAGCATGGAGAAATACTTCAAGCCCAAGACAAATTAGCTTGACAAGGGGTTGAGTAAGCCCTTCACACCAAGAATCATTCACTTACCTACAGCTAGGCTCCAATCCAAGCACGTTTTGAACATATGGAACCTCAGTGGAACTACTCAGATGTTCAATTACTTTACTGGATCAGGGCCTTACTTTGCATCCACTATTTTGGTGATTGGAGAGGCACAACCGTGGTCTAGTAGAATGACGCTGATACTGGATGCTAGAAAACCTGAGTTCTGGGCTCCGACGCAGACAAGCTTGGTGATTTGTCATGTCAACTCTTCATCCCTCTGTAAAAAAGGGATGTTAATGCCCATTTTTTGTGTAGGAATGCTAGACATTAATTCTTACCCAATGCACCCTATTATTTATCTAAGTTAGGCTGCCAGCTCTGGAGGGCAAGGACTGTTTTGTAAGTGATGTATACTTTTACTGTGCTGTAAAAATTATTAACAGTAAAATAAATATTAATATGAATGTCAGTATTGGCATCAATATCAATATTAACAACAGGAGAAATATAGATTAGTAAATGCAGTAATGCGCTTGGTATATTCCTAACACAGCAGAGGAACAGGTGCTCTAGCCCATTGCAATTAAATCAGCCATTGACTGGGATTTGTGCTCCTAAAAATCCTTTAGACACCTTTAAAACCTTTGCTTTAGTCTCACTGCAGTTTATTTCCTTCCTCTAACTAACTTCCTCTGTGACTTTTTCTGTCTTCTTCCTTCTATCCTCTTCAACTCCTTCCATCAAGAGGCATTAGAGTGGATTAAGACACAATGGAGCATGTCAGCTGCCCTGCTCTCTTCACCCACATAGCCACAACCCTAATGAATGTGCAGTGGCTCAGTGGATTTGCTCTACCCCAGTAACAGCACAATGGATGGGATTCCTTTACACTGAACAGACAGGGAGAATGAGAGCCTTGACATTCCAAATGGAACTTCTGCTCAATAGCACTTCTGCTAAATCTGCTGACTTGGGGTGTCTTTTTAATTTCCTTTTTAAAAAAAACAACCAAAAAAACCCCACCACCCGAAAAACCAAAGTTCTATCAGAACGCTTACCAGACAAGCAGTACTTTTTAATAAATCACATGGAAACAGGAGATAATATATTATATATAGGAACTCTGTTCTTGACCAAAAATAAGTAAAATGAGTTGTATTTTATTAATTTTGCTTTTCAGAAACCAACAAATGTGTTTATTTGCTCCTATTTGATCAGTAAATTAATAAACACACCACATTGGAAACCAGTAAGCATCAACAGATGTGAAGCTATAAGAAAAAAAATAATTTATCTGTTCCAAGAAATATTTGCCAAGCAACACTATCTTTTAATGTAACTCTTCAGTCATTAGAATCCAAAGGGACTACATTACTGCCCTTATCAAACACTCAAGTATGTTAATGCCCATCATGGTGACCTAATCAGTTTAGGTGTATCATCCACACAGTTTCATGAAGCAAATGAAAGTGTCACTGAGGACTTGTAGTGTGCTTCAGTCTGTCTATGAAGCAGGGCAAAGTGTGAATGACAGCAGGCACCCTGCACTCAAAAAGCGACTGTTATTTTACATACAATCACATGCTAAAACACGATTTTATTTGGGATTTAAATGTGTGATGCATAGAAGCAATATTAAACATAGGATCTTTTTAGAGCTGTGAGAAGATTCTCATATAAAGGGCCAAAATTTCAAGCACGTTTGCAAAACATTCCTTGCAAAACATGCACACAAGCTCTCAGGAGGGGGAATTGTAAGTTCCAGTTTGCCTGTCCCATTATCTGTTTCATGTTTGGCAATGCATGCTTCGTATCTGTCCCATTACTTGTATGCATGGGAATACAGCCTTCGAATGTGCAAGAGATGTGAGAGCATAATTTGCAGGGGCAACTTGTGTTTGCAAATTGGCCTGAAGTGAGACTGAGCAAAGTTTTAATGAAAAGGCCAAAGGAAATTTGAGGCATTTTCTTTTTTAAAAAAAATTCTCTGATTTTAAAACAATAGCATTGTAAGAAGAATAAATTATGAACAAGGCGTTAAGTCCGTATCCTGATCTCAAGTACATCAGAAGTTCTTGCTATTGACTTTAACAGGAACCTATGTAATGAATTGCCATTCATTTTTGCCATGAGGGAACAAATCACACTGACAAGGCTGCTAAAGGTTGAAGGTGTTAACTGAGGTCTGTATTACAAGCTTAATCTTATGACCAAGAAATGCTACTGATCAGAGCAAAGAAACCCTTGGTGAAGATTCCCCCTTATTCCAACACAAAGCTAAGTTCTTCAAATTATTTCCTGTAATGAGAAAAGGCAAAGCAAGAGATAGAAGACAATGTCCTCCATGCCACCCTATATGCACAGAACACCCTCTCCTGAAAGTTATTTCAAGTCTCTCCCTCTCCTTATTCAGATTCCTCCTAAAAATCTTACTTTTGTGGTCAATCATAAGATGTGAGTAAAAAAGTTAAATGAGAACCAAATATATTAATAAATCACAACAACAATAATTGAATGGAACTATCAAAATGTACACACACCCTATTGAGTAACACATGATCAGTGCAACCCTTGTTATACTTTCCTTCCCTCCATTTCTCTGAGTATGCTCCTCCAATTGTTGTGTTAAGTCCAAATTTAGTGTGTAAGTGTAACCTTGGGTGGGCTAGAGTTTACTTCACTGCTCTTTCTCCTAGTGCCTAAAACACAATTCCCACAGAAAAGCACAGGGAGATCCAAAATTCAGTCATTGAGGATTTTCAGCAAGCACTGCACAGGATCAACTTCCCCACGATCAAGTTCAAAAAGAACAAAAGGAATGAACTTAATTCTTAAGTACCAACTTTATATAATTTATAATGATAAAGAAACATAAATAATAACTTAATTTCTACAATATAACATGGCTACTTTATGATCCACATACATTATCGTCACCATTGTACATAAACATAAATGAAGACAACAAATTAAATCTAAACAGGTCAGTCCCCACAGAAACACAGTGGGAAGTAACTCTGTTCCCAAAAGCTTAGGTTGAGTTCATCTGACTCTGTTACTGCATTTGAACACCAAAATGGGTAAGACCGCTGAATCAAAAGCACTGCAACAACATTTTCCCTCCACTTGCTCCATGTGGAAGTTCCAATTTGCCTGTCCCATTATCTGTTTCATGTATGGAAATGCATGCTTCAAATCTGTCTCATTACTTGTTGTCTGCATGGGCATACAGGCGTCGAATGTGCAACAGATGTGAGAGCATCTGAACACCAGTGACAGCGTTCCAACACCAAAAACTGTAAGACTGCTGAATCAAAAGCATCGTACCAACATTTCCCTCTACTTGCTGCGTGTGCAGGTTCCAAGTTGAGAGGGCTGCCGGTAGGGAAGGCAGGCGGAGGCTGTGCCTCCCCAAACAGCCTTGCATAGCCACACCCATGCTCCACCCCCCAGGCCCCTTCTTGCGTCCCTGGCTATGCTGCGGGGGGCTCTTCCCCCTGTGGCCGTGGCTCCAGGCTGGGGCTAATGGGGGCCAGCCTGAGCTCCGGGGCTGGGAGGGGGGCTGCACCACCGCCCTCCTGGCATTCTAGGGCGGGGGGGGGCAGCATTCGGGGGCTGGGGGCCGGGCGTACCACTCGCTCACCTGCCCGGCGTTCTGCAACTGGGGGGCGGGTGCTGCCTGCTCACCTGCCTGGCGATACGGGGCTGGGAGGGGGGGCAGGGCCGCTCGCTCGCCCCACCCAGCGCTCTGAGGCGGGAGGGGACACGCCACCCTCTCACCCTCCTGGCGTTCCAGAGCCGGGGGCACTCGGGCGGCCGTGGGGTGGGAGAGGTGGCTGCCGCACTGGGAGGAGGGGGGACTCTGGGCTCCCGCGGGAAGGGCGGGGCCTTGGACAGAAGGGGTGGTCCAGGGCGGGGGCTAGCCTCCCCGACCCCGGGGTTCGCTCCTCGGCTACGACTTGCTCGTAGAAACCTCCAGCTGGAATGTATGCAGACTCTTTCTCCTTCACTGCTGAAAACACACAGGTGACTAGTCAGCTAACTAATTAACCAACCAACCACTTTTAAGTATTTAGATTTAAAAAGATTTAGTGAATAGATTTAAACACAAAAACAAAAGAGCCCTGCTGCAAAATGCTTCAGTGTTAAGGGAAAACAGCCAGCTTTCTGCTCCCATGGCTCAGCTTCTTCCAACCCACACAGGGCACATGGGCTTTTGCAAAAGCAGCTGGAGTCTGAGTCCAGCTACAGGGAACCTATTGAGCATACCCCAAAACTACCACACCCAATCCCAGAAACTTCTGAGTGTGGAGTGCTAATTGTGCACATCCTAGCAACAAGGGACTACTCATTTCTACCCCTCCCCTCCCTAGATCTCTTAAAGACAGACCTCCCTATTAGGCACATCAGTGACATGAGAATTTCAGGAAAGGGACCCTGGGTGAAATCTTGGACACACTGAAGTCAATGCCAAACTTTCATTAATGTCAATGGAGCCACGATTTCTTCCTAGGTCTTTAACGGCACACCTTGTACACTGGTTTCAGAGGAACAGCCGTGTTAGTCTGTATTCGCAAAAAGAAAAGGAGTACTTGTGGCACCTTAGAGACTAACCAATTTATTTGAGCATGAGCTTTCGTGAGCTACAGCTCACTTTGTCGGATGCATACCGTGGAAACTGCAGAAGACACTGTACACTGTAACTAATAAATAAGAATCATGCTACAATAGCTGAAGAAACAGTAGCAGTTATCATAAACCAACTGCAACTAAGTTGCTAGAAGTACACAAATCACAAATATAAGTAATTTTTAATTGGATGCCTTTGGTAACTTAAAATAGGGCACAATATCAGTTGGATTCTAGGATTCTGAAGTAGCCTCAGCAATGACTCATGAAGCAAGTAATAATCACATTACAAACCAGGGGAGCCAAGAAGCAAAGCCAAAGAGCTGTGAGGCACATAAAAACTTGATTTTGTTATTTTAAAAAGATCCATTACTTTTAACATTCTGGGATTTCTGTATATGAGTGGGTGGATGTGGCTGTTACAGTAAAAAAAAACTTTAGTGAGAGCCTTGGGCTGCGTGGGATACTATAGGGAATCAGAGCTCAACAACATCAGAATAGTAACACAAAGAAATAAGCCAATGACCTATCCTTGACCATTTATTTTCCAAATGGGTCATGAGTCCTCATTTCCCAGCTCCCCTTGCCTCACAACTTTACACAGATAAATAGGTAGGATTTTAATATGTTGAGAGGCAGGATAATTTA